CCATCTTGGCCACCTGGGCACACTGCTGGCTCCTATTCAGCTGCCTGTCGACCAATACCCCCAGGTCCTTTTCTACCAGGCAGCTTTCCAGCCACTCTTCCCCATGCCTGTAGCGTTGTGTGGGGTTGTTGTGACTCCAGGGCAGGACCCGGCCCTTGGCCTTGTTGAACCTCACACAATTGGCCTCAGAATCAACAGCTTGTGCCAGAACTGGCACCTTTTGAACAAACTTCCAAAAATTACAAGGTTGTAGCTAAGGGGAGCAGTCACCTGAGCAAGCAGGGAGCTGCAGATAACAAATGTGTCCTTTCAGCACGGAATTGGCCAGCTCATGAGTGACAGGAGAACTTAGGGGGTCATAGCTTCATGTGTGAGCCTCAGCCCACAGGCAGCTGTAGGACTCGTGGTCGGGGGTGAAATGCCCTTACCACTGGCAAGGCACCTGGCCAGGCCATGCGTTTCGGGCTTCTTTCAGCATACCTCCGTTAAAATACCGGCCTGATCGATTGAAATGCCGAGCTAGTTCTGTTTACAGCCGTGAGTTTGATCCCAGTGTCGGTACACACCTCATCCATCACTGCGTGAATGTCCATCTGCTTCCCTTTGTTCATAAAATTCAAAGTGACTTGTGGTTTCCTGGCTTTACTAGAGCTGGGATATCCATAGCTCCTTGTGGTGTTTTGAGGACCACTCCAGTACTCGTTGGTTTTGATGTTTCAGTCAGCATCCGCATGCAGGAAGAAATGGGTTGGTTTGGCCTCCGTTGATGTCAAGTCGTCAGAGTTGGTTAAAAGATCATGGTTAAAAAAATGGCTTTGACCCTGACTTCTATCCAGGGGAAGATGCAAGAGCTGAATGTCTTGTTGCCTCTTAAAGTGTGTGCTTTGCTCCCTTAAAGCACGCGACAGAGGTAGAGGAAGCGACCTTAAGTCATTAATATGCATTTGTCACGACATTAACAGGTTTTAATAAGGATGTGTAATGGCTGGTTTTGGAGCATGATGCAGTTTCATTCCCAGTTGCACGTGCATAGCCTTAAATACAGCTGCTGCTTTCCTGGGTAATTTAGCTGAGAACAGAAACGTCAGGGAGCACAAATTAGGTAGAGGTGGATTCCTCAGCATTTAAGAAGAACTGAAAATAAGCTTTTTCAAGTTAGAATTTCTAAATAGGACCACTTGCTAAAACGTCACCTTACGTTTTCAATGCGACCATCTAAATCTATTGCTTGTATAAGAAAGTATTTGCTTCGGTTAGGTACGTTTACAGGCATCGTTGCCATCCACTCACAGTTGGCTCGTTGGTGGAAACATTGTTTTGAGGATGTTAAACCATGGGTCTAATAAGAGGTTAAAGAAGCCTTCAGGACTTAAACATACATCCTCAATTCCTCTGTTTATTGTTCTTTGGTTTCTGCTGTGTATTTTTACACATTAATGATGTTAAATTCATTATACCAAAGCGACTGTTTCTCTTAGTTCGGTGCTTGCCATCAGATTTGTTTCAGATGAGAACTGGAGACAGTGAGGTGAAGAAGAATATCGGGTATTTTTGTATTTTTCTAAAACTTGTTCTGGAGCACGGGTTAATGCCCCAAAGCAGTAAATCCCACAGTGACGTTGCCCTTTTTATTTTTAATTGAGAAAAGATACTAAAACCAGAAACACAGAGTAAGCATTCCACGCAGTCTTAGACACAGATTCATTTTTTTCCGTTGAAATTTCACCTTCATAGCAATTTTATCCATTTAATGTGAAATATCAAATTAACAGGAGATGCCTGGACCTTCTTATGCCATGAACAGATGCTGGCTTGGTGAGAACCATGGCAGGGAGTTGTGAATTCTGTGAAACAATGAACATAACACGATGCTGTGAACTCCATCTGCAGAGCGAGCGGGCGGGCAGCGTTTTGGATAATGGTTGTTTCCGTGGCATCGTGCGTGGTGGGGCGAATAATTTGGGAAGCTCCGCCACCCCAGGGTTTAGGAAGGAGAGCCCTCTCTGTCCCTTGTGTGCCAAAACTGAATAGTGGAAGTGGATGCTGATAGAATTTTAGCGAAATAGCTGGAATTAGTTCCCAGGTGGTTGCCCACTGTGGAAAATCTCTATCTTCGCTACCCATAGTTCAGTGAGGCCAAATGACCCAGCACAAGCAACTTCTTACAGAAATGTGTGGTAGAATTTTTAAAACCTGTTATGGGGATGGCCATAAGAACCTGGGGGGTTTTTTTGTGAGATTTGGCTTTTTTGCAAGATTTGGGGGGTGGGGGGTTGCAAGATTTTGGGGTGGTTTTACCCCTTTTGGACAAGGGGTAATGGTTTTAAACTAAAACAGGGTAGGTTTAGACTAGATATAAGGAAGAAATTCTTTACAATGAGGGTGGTAAAACACTAGAATGCGTTGCCCAGAGAGGTGGTGGAGGGCCCCATCCCTGGAAACATTCAAGGCCAGGTTGGAGGGGGCTGTGAGCAACCTGATCTAGTTAGCGGTGTCCCTGCTCCTGCAGGGGGGTTGGACTGGGTGACCTCTAGGTGTCCCTTCCAACCCAAAACATTCTATGATTCTATGATTAATGATTTTGTTTAATTCTGCATTTAGTTTAATTTATTAACTTTTATGCACAAGACAGAGCATAAAAGAAACTTGAGGTACTTTGGACATTTGACCTTTTCCATGGCTGTTTGTCTGGCGTTCGGTCCTCTCCTGTTTGGCGCCGCTTCCCGCCTCCTTAAATAGTAAGGTTATGTTCAGACAGCTTTCCCCGCCTCCCCGTATCAACCTTTGCTATTAATTACCATTTTTTTTGTCTTTAAGAAAGAAAAAACAAACAAAAAAAAGGAAAAAACTAAAACAAGAAGCCCCAGGCTCCAAGGACGCTGTGCACCCCTGAGCTCCCCCCGGGCTGGCAGCCTGCTGGCCGGTGCCCTATGCAGGACGGGTGGGGAAAGAAGAGCTGAATAGCGACGCTTTTTCTATTTTTCTTTTTGTAGGTTAATTCGGTAAGAACGGGAGTGGGGAAAAAGGGCATTGTTCCGGTGTCTTGCCCCATGCCCGCTGCATTAGCTCCTGGAGCTTCACCGTCCCTGCCAGTGCCTATGCCAGGGCCTGCCCTCCCTGGCACAGTGACACCTTATGTGATGCCTCTTTGTCAGTACGGAGGAGTTTTCC